ATATCACTGAAATGATTAACCAACCTTCTGAGAATCATACTTGTTGGTACCGGCTTGGAGACGCACAATGCCGTCTGAGAGACGAATCTTCTCCTCGGGAAGGTCCTTAAATTGATGACCATTAAAATCGGGGCTTGTCCTGCCTTATAGAAAATTTTTGGAGTCACGGCCTCCACAGAAGTTCCCCTCTGGTACTTCCCCTTCTCCTTTCTACCCTCGCTTTCCTGAATTTTTCCACTTTCCTACTATTTTTATGTAGTTTTTCTTCTTCTGAAAATTCCTCTAAATTCCTCCCATGAACTGCTGAAAACTGACAACGGTGGAAGAGGGGTGGGAGTACATATAGCGCATTAGAAAAACCGGAAAAAATGAAAAACCGAAAATCTCAAAAGCTGACGCAATCCCCTCCCTCCAGCAACAAAATACGACCCCTGCCGGTTGGGATCCGAACGTGAAACATGCCATGATTAGAATGGAAGGAATTCGAGCTATAGGCTTCGTTATTCCCAGATCTGATCGTTCTTCACCTGGGAATTTTCGCCGTTGAGCGACTAGGTACCAGGGAAGACTTTTCAGAAATTTCCAATTTTCAACCTGCCCACAGCAAGGCAATCTTTCCAGGAGAATCCCTTGTTGACCTATCTCCCAGTATCTGGACAGAATCGATGCTAAAGGCTAGCTCATGTACATTAGTTGCTGGGCATATGGCATGCCCGGGTGTAGATTGCCAGGCTCTGACGTGAAGGGTGAATGAAGTCTAAGTAGCAAGCAAAAAAAGCTATTCCTGAGCGTAGAAGCAGTCCCATATATTTTCTGAAGTTTTTTTTTCGCTATAGACCCTCTTTTGAAAACTCGCGTTGCGCATGTGACTGTGGGAAGTACGTGAAGCTAGCTCCTGCCTAAGAAATTCTCATGGCGAGCGCGGAAACCAGAAAACAACGTGGATTCTCTCGCACTGTTTCATCCGCTCGCACGACATCACTGATCTTGTATACAAACATACTTAAGCGCTCACAACGATCATACGCCTACGTGTGCTTTTCTTTGTGCAAAAGAATGAAAGACACACACAGAATCCCTAAGGAAACCTGTGGCGGAAAGCTAACGAGAGTTCAGCTTTGCGGGTTTCTTATTCGAAATGTTGCCCTTCTCAAGCAGACCCCCCTCCCCAGTTCATTTGTACCTCCCAAAGTGGACCCTGATGAGAGTGATCCTCCCTGGCTTTGGCTTTTCCAGAGGGAGGAGTCTTCTGGAATAACTCTCGAATAGCGGAACCCTTTGCCTCCAATAGTGGCATTTCAGTACACACTGCTTTAAACAGCTGCATGCTCGTGTGCTTATGGTCCTCTATTGTAGGTACACCCCACATCTCGTAGTTCGGGAGGGCGTTGCTTCTCACTTCATCTGGTCAGCAGCCGCGCTTCCGGTGGTATGTTCGTTATGGGCCAACTGTAATCATATCCTTGTCCAGCATAGGGCAGGATGACAGTTGTCCTAATCGGGAGAATCCCACAAGTAATGCACCCTAAACCGTGTCCAAACAAAGTACTCGATTACGCCTCATCCATTTCCAAGATATGGAGCATACATAGCCTCAAAACACTGACCAATTTCAAATAAGTATGTGAAAGCTCACCTGGAGATCTGCAGGGTTGGTGTTGACGTGCTTTCCCTCTCGGCACACATCACGGCCAGTACCGAAGCCAGTCATACCACGCTGTGAACTGAATTTGTTGGTACCGGACTGAAGACGAACTTCACCATGGGTACGGTTAGCGATCTCCTCGGGAATTTCCTGAAATTATTAGAAGCTTATTTTATACGATAGATGGTTTGAGATGGTATGATCGTTTGATTTATCTTGTTTGAGGCTTCAGAAGCAGCAAAAGGATTCTCATCGCGATCATTGGGCAGCTATTTTGTGGGCCATTGCCTGGTCTCACGTAAGGGTCCGATCAAATGCTCCGATTTGGTCCAGCTCAACAGATTCCTGGCGTGTTAATATTAGAACAGAAATAGCTGCGAATTGTGTGAATTGGATTTTATGGGTGCCTAGGAGCCACTTCCCCCGACATTTTCCACGTTCTATTCCGCGATCAAAAATCACCACTGCAACGTTGTCATGCCCCAGGTGATCTCACTACCAGTCCACTCACAACATAATGAGCTCTCAAGTGCCGTTCACAAACTAGCTTCAGGTTCAAGCAGGCGTGCAGAACTTGGAGTGCTCTTAACACAAGAATCAATAATGCTTGAACACTTCCGCTGAGCGCATTTGTCTAAAAGCTTAGTGATGACGCAGCGGAACGAACGAAAACTTCTGCAGTCATCTCCCATTTACTTCGACTGATGTTTGTGGAGTCATTTCGATACACATATTCATTCTTATATGAAAATCATTTTTAATGACGGGCACAATGAATCACGGCGATCAGATTTTTCGGAGTTGAGACAGTTGAATGAAACGTC